ATTTTTAAAAGGAAATCACACTTATTTAAATAAAATGTGTGATTTGTGTGTGTAATTTGATTGATTAATTTTCAGTTCGTCTTTTTCAATATTTTTTAGTTTCTCTCAGTTTTTTCTGTGATCAATCAAGACATAATGCGAAATCGCTTAAAATGTTTGTGATAAATGACAAATATTGTTGCTTTTTGTTTAATTATTATATAGCGAAGTTTATATATTATTGTAATTAAAAAGTATTTTGTATTTCAAAGAAGTATTTTGTATTTCAAAAAAAAGATTTAAAAGTATTTTGTATTTTGTATTTCAAATAAAAAAATTAAAAGTATTTTATATTTTGTAATTCAAATACTAAGATTGACAGTATTTTGTATTTTATATTTCAAATACTTTTATAATGTATTTTGCCCAGCCCTGACTATTGAGATTGAACGAAGAAATCCGTCGAAAACATCCATATACTGGCAAAGGATTGCGTCCGGTGAAATTGCTTCATGACAACGCTAGGCCTCATGTCGTTAAAACGGTCAAAGAAACATTATTGACACTTGGTTGGGATGTTCTACCGCACCCGGCCTATTCGCCAGATATAGCGCCAAAATTATCACTTGTTCCGGTCAATGCAAAACGCATTGAGGTACGCTTCCGGAATATTGAAGAAGTGCGAAAATGGGTCAACAACTTTATTAAATCAAAAGACGAAACTTTTTTCACTGCCGGAATTCGTAAACTGCCCAAAAGATGGCGCAAAGTCATAGATAATAACGGAGAACATTTTGATACTTAAATGTATTATTGAATTTCTGCAAAAAAATCTTGAATTTTCAAAAAAACGGTTTAAAACTTATTTGTACCCCTAATATATGAAAATTTTTTAAGTTTACATGTTGCGATAACAATACTTGCGAGCCCAGTTCTATCAAAAAATACAGCTCATATAGACTACGCCGAAAATTTATTACAATATTTTGTCAGTACTTTTACAAAAATATATGGCCTAGAATATGTTTCTCATAACATCCACAATTTATTACACATTTGCGCAAATATTCGAAAGTACGGACCCCTAGATGAGTTTAGTGCATTTTCTTTCAAAACTCACATGACTTATATTAAAACATTAATCCGCAAACCAGATAAACCACTTCAGCAATTGGTAAAACGATACGCTGAAATGGAAATACTTAATTCAAAAATTTCAAATCGGGATCGATTTTGTAATAAAATACGTTTAAAGAAACCACACAAAACTGGACCTCTCATTGATAGACATAATTTTGGATCTGAATTTAAAGTTCTTGAAACTAATTCATATTCGATCCACTGCAAGAAAGAGCAAATTAATTCGGTACTTCTTGAAAACGGTACTGTAGTTTCAATTTTAAACATTGTAAAATCCGAAGATAATGAAAAATTAATTATTGGTAAGAAACTAAAGTATGTTAAAAATCTATATTTACTTTCTTGCGAATCAAATGTATTCAACATTTAAGTTGTAATTACAGAGGATCGCATACGTGTATGGTCATGCGACAAAATTAAAGCTAAATTGTGGAAAATGCCATACAATACTAATTCCCAATCAGCAGACAATGTTTTTTAAATAAATTTTTAATATTTATTTTTTATTAATTGTACATTGTATAAATAATTGTAAAAATAATATTTATTTAATCTTTATTAATAATTTATTTAACATGAAATATTCGTTAAAAATAATAATTTAGAATAAATGTTTATGTAATGTTTATGTAACATTTATTAAACATAAAATATTCGTTTAAGATAACAGTTTTAAAAAAATGTTTAAGTAATGTTTAGTTAACATTTATTAAATATTTACTTATATTTTTACATAATGAAATAATATTCGTTTAAAATAATAATTTAGAATAAATGTTTATATAAGGTTTATTTAACATTTATTTAATATTTATATATTTTTACTTTTACATGAATTATTTATTTGCATA